CCCACACCCACCCGCGACAACCACACCGACACCCACACCCCACACCCACGCCCCACACCCACGCCCCACACCCACACATCCACACCCACGCACCCACATCCATCCACACTCACACCTCACCCACACCCACACCCGACAACCACACTCACACCCACCCCTGACAACCACACGCACACCCACACACCCACATTCACCAACACTCACACCACCACCCACACCCGACAACCACACCAACACCCACCCACCCACACGCACGCCCCACACCAGGGTGGCCAGATCAAAAAGTTGAAAATCAGAACTTTTTTCAAATTCTGAAATGATCAGAAAGTTTTTTTTTGCAAAATCAGAAATTAATCAGAAAGGCAATTTGTGCAAATTAATGGATATTATGCTAATATTCTGGCACCCAATACTCTTCTGGATATCCATTCATTGATTCATACTTTATTTTCAAAGGTATTTTACTATAAAGAAAGACATTGCTATCAATATATCGTTTAACTAATACAAAGCAAACAACAAAAGATACTTAATGTCGAACATTTTCCCTGAATTAGAAGCTGGTCTACGAAAAAAGGAACAAAAGAGCCCGCATACATACTATACAGGTTAAAATCGTGCTGCTAATACATGATTAATAATTTGTTTTGTAAAAAAAGGACCAAGAATATTCCACGCAGTGAATCGTGCTTTGGTTTTACCTCATGACCTGGACTTTGCTATTGGTAATGATACAAATATCGATCGTGCTAAATCAGTTGTACATTTCTGAGATCTGTAGCTAATGCCCATGTTTAACTCCATGAAAGACGAATGCACATTCAGCTGCTGAAATTTTATCTAATTCATGTTCTAGAGCTATAAATAATACCAGTGAAGAATTCTTTCAAAATAAATCCATATATTTTTTATGTGTATTACTATTCAAGTGTTTCTCGACAGCTGAGATCCCGTCACAATCAACGGAAAACGTTTTAAGACAAGCTTTACAACGAGCTTTTGTTGAATCGTGCTTTATTTCTTGTAACCATGATGAATATTCGTTAATCAATAACCACTTTGTACGAAAAATTCTTTTTTTTATTCTCACTCTTCGAGATGATGTTGGTGTTAATGTAGTCGTTGATGGTGCTACATGAACATGTTCTTCTTCACTATTATCTTCAGCCATATGTACATCATCCATGAGGTGACTTACTATTTATTTATGAAATTTACAAGAGGACTATCAGAATAAGTAAAAGTAAGGATGTATCATAAACTTCAGTTCATATGTTCATATTTACTGGCTAACTGTATAAATTGGACGCTACCAATCATTAGTAGAGAGAAAAGATGGCGTCATATTGACTGTTATAGTAATGGGTTATGATCGCACAAAATTTCGTTAAAAACACTACGATATAGAAAAATTCAGAATTTGGAAGAAAAGTACAGGAAATACTAAAATCAGAAAAAATCAGAAGAAAGCGTTAAAATCAGACAAATCAGATCATCAGAAGAAAATCAGAAAAGCGTTCGAATTTCAGACAATGCCCTGACTTTTCAGACAATCTGACCACCCTGCCCCACACTCACACCCACCCACACTCACACCCATACCCATGCCCGACACCCACACCCACACCCACACCCAGAAGTCTTTGTTTGGAAAAAATTTAAGATGATATATCATTTTTTCAGCAGCCTAAATTTACATAAGACTGAGAACCATGATACAAAACACTTAATAGTCTGAAATAAACAATTGAAATCTATTCATAAATAAGTAGTAGTCTCAGTTCATACATATGCGACTTAGTGTCTATCTCCATCATAGAGAAAGGGTCTCTAAAACAAAGATATTCAATACGCGTACAGTTGTTTGTAGATAAAATCGGTTACTTCTTAGTAAATGTATTCTATTCTCTTAATACAATCAAGAATCCTTACTCAGCCTCACATTTTAATGAAGCAAACATCCGGTAGAACTGCAAAAAATCGTGATCTTCACATTTATGGAGTCATAGCTGGAAAATGATTATTTTTCAAAATATCGAGATTTGCTTTATATATTTTAAATGAGATAAATATCATTCTGATAAAAGCAGAGAAATAGATTATTGTTTCTTTTTAAAGATGAAAGAATGAAAGTAACTGTTGTATGTCATCAAAAGCAAAACATGGCTTTGGATTTCTATCTGCTGCTAATGGATCTAGGGCACCAGAGAAAATACCAAAAGTACGTGCACCATGCGCATCATCTGCTGAACCAGCGACATGCAAAACTTGGTTCTTATTACCACCGACCGCAGCTAATGCTTGAGCATACATTGCTGAACATGGTTTAAAACAATTTACCGGAAAATCTGATGATAATAGTAGTGAAATATTTACAGAAGATGGAAAGACATGTAGAGCTGCTTTCAGTGTTTCTTTATCACCGTTGGAAAGCAACGCTAACTGATATTTTCTACTCAATATTTTTAAAACGTGTGTAGTACCAGGATATGGTTCTAGATTTCCCCAGATAGACATCAAAGCATTGAACGTAGGACTATTTTCGGTTATAGTCTTTGATAAACCAAATGAATCTAAGATTTTCAATAATGATGAATGAATAACCCATCGGAAAGGGTGATGCGTTATAGACGGTGAAAATGATTTTCCAAAAAATAATACATATTCCCTAATCCAATCATCTGTAAATTTCTGTATATCAAACGACGACAATGACGGTATAAGAGAAGCTATATTACGATTCATCGAAGATTTTGTTAACATCAATGCGCCAAATAAATCAAATGTCACCAAACGTACTGTATTAACATTAAGAGATGAACAATCTATAGAAGCCGAAGAGTTGTTCAATTCACTCTTTAATAATCGTAGCTTTATGTGTAATGTCGAACATTCGACGAATAATACAGATATGAATATAATAGTAAGAGCATCAAGAGACCGAAATGTGTATGCCATTATTATTTTTGTTTTTCAAAAACTGATTCGCGAAATCTATTGTTAATGTGATTGAAATGAAGAAAAATACGAACAACAATATGAAAACATTGAAACTTATAAGCATATTTAAGCGTTTTCTTTTGAAATAGGGGTGTCGCATTAGCATTAATGGCATAAGTGTTAATTAATGCACAGATGTGGCATTAATTTAGCCTTATTTTTAATGCTAATATATATACTTAGTGTCATTTCTAGATTGTTATCTTGACAAACTACCTTTAACTTTTTAAGAGCTATCTAAAAGGACTCTCGGTAACCTTTGAAAGAGTACATAAGGATGTCATCGGTAAGTTTTCAACGGCTACCTAGAAACGCTCTAGGAAATCTTTCAAGAGCTATTTTAGGGTACTCTTTTCGTCTTTTTAAGAACTATCTTAGGCTAGTCTCGGTAACTTTTCAAGGACTACCCAAGGTTAGTGTTGGTAAACTCTCAAGGGCTATCTAGGGATACTCTCGGAAACTTCTCAAGATCTAGCTATGGATACCCTAAGTAACTTTTCAAGGGTTACTTACGGGTACTCTTGGTGAACTCTCAAGGGCTATTTGGAGACACTCTTGACAATTTTTCAAGTTCTACTTAGAAGTACCATTATTGATTTTCCAAAGACTTTTTAGGGGAACTCCTAGTAACTGTTCAAGGGCTATCGGAAGGTACTGTTTGCAACCTTTCAGCAGCTACCTAGGGCTATTCTCGATAAGTATTTTAGGGCTCACTGGGCATGTCCTTGATGACTATTTAAGGCGTATCTGAAGCCGCACTTGACAACTTTACAAGGGCTATCGTAGGTACCTTTATTGACTTTTCAAAAGCTATCTATACATTCTAAAAAATTTCCGTATTGTGGGAAACCGACCTGAAAGGGTTTCCGAACGATTGGAAACCCAAATCCGTTTCCGACATTGACTCGGAAACCCTTTGAGGGTTTTCGAAGAAAAAAGATGAGTTTCAGAAAGCTCGAAAACCCTTAATAGATTTCCGATAGTAACAAACTCGAAAACCGAAAAGGGTTTCCGAATCTCGGAAACGGTTTATTTTGTCGGAAACCCTTTTCGGTTTCCGAGTTTGTTACTATCGGAAACCTATTAAGGGTTTCCGAGCTTTTGGAAACCCATCTTTTTTCTTCGAAAACTCTCAAAGGGTTTTCGAGTCAATGTCGGAAACGGATTTGGGTTTCCGAACGCTCGGAAACCCTTTCAGGTCGGTTTCCCACAATACGTAAATTTTTTAGAGTGTAGGCACCCTTAACTGCTTTTCAAGAACCATTGGAGATAGTTTTTACGATTTTTCACCTACTGCACAAAGATTATAGCACTGTTCCATTTACAGAATCACTCAAGTAAAGTGGGTGTGGGTGCGTGTCGGTGTAGGTGTGGATGTAGAGTGTGAGGAATTCATTCATAATAACACCCTCAAGATCCACGAGGGTCTAGTAAGATCCACCAAGATCCATTAGGATTCAACATAGTCCGTTACGGTTCAACAGTATAGATCACTGCTCTAAATATCCACAAAAGCAAGAAAATCAATGAGAATTTTAAAATAAGGATATATAAATCAAAATATTTTCTGGATAGATCAATGTGATCATCAAATGTTATTGATACAACTCTGACTACTATAGTTTACAAAGAAAAAATGGGACCCTGACGCACATCCCACGATCTAATAGGATCCATGCAGATGCATTGGAATTCTTGAAAGCTAAACAGAGGAAGAGTCGGTCCCAGACTTTCTGATGGAGAAAGAAACTTTGAGACTGAGATTTTGGTGGGCAGCAATTAATTTTTGATATATCTCAATGAATTCCACAGTTTATACGATTGAATAGGATTCATGAATATTCAAGTTTTCTATATTGATCTGAAACTGTTATGAAACTTCTTGGCTTCTGCTGAATTCTTATTGCCTTCCATAGATTGTAATAGACAATGTTGCACTACTGCAAGAGAAAATTGTACATGTTTTTGAACTAGCTCTCTGACATATGCAACAAGGATCCTGCATATGTTCATCGTTTTTCCTGTGGAAATTAGAAATTCTAAAAAACGTGTACCCATAGCATTTTAAGATGCTGGCAGAACTTGAATCGAAGTCTAATCAAGCTGGTAAATAGTTTGTGACTGTTTTCTGGTCGTCAACAACCCAAGAAGCTGCTAAACGTTGAGAAAATTGTGTAGCTACGGAACTTCAAGATCTCGCCAAGATTCCTAACAAAAATTATATCAGGATCGTGAGCAGTTTACCAATGCAATTTAAACTAGAAATATGCTAATGGAACGGCAAATCCTTATAAAACATGTAGGCATGAAATAAACATATCTTTTAGTATTAGAACAAGATATCAGAGTCATTCTGAGCCTACTCGCGTAGATTTTTTGTCAAGATCTTATCAGCATTTCAATAATTTCTAATTGGAAAAATATTTCCTGATTTCACCTAGCAGAACTTTACTACGATTCGTGAAGAATGTTATCCAATGTCTTGGCATGATCTCTGCCGGGTTCTCCAGGCAGAAAAGAGGAGAAAAGAGGGCATCCAACGTTGATCTCTAGATCTTCGGTTCACAACTTGATTAGTTTACCGCCTTAGGCTGTACCAAATTATTTAATTTAACTTGAATCTTTCATATCCTGTCTTCTCTCTGAACTATTAATTATTATTTGAACTTCACGTAAACATAAATTATTTCTAGAAAAATTCGAAAAATTTAATGTTAAACTTAATATACTGATTAGTTATCTTCAGATTTTACAATGAATGGTTGATTTCAATTTGAATAAAACAGTATTTGTCTGTTTTTTTTCGATACGAATAAATTGAATCCAGTGCGAGTTTTACTAGAGGACTCGTCTCTTACCAAAAACGTCTTTGTAAAGACAAAGTTAATGCAACACTTAATCTGATACTCAATTATCCATTTCAATGAATTTCCAAGTTTCATGTAAAAATAAAATTCATATCATAACTGAATCCCGTGCTATGAATGCCATATCATATAGAATACAAATCTTAAAATGGTTTCAAGAAAAATCCTCTCAAATTCTTCTCAAATTCGATTCCTGTCAGAACCGAAACAAAACACATAGTAAAATTTGGAGTAGCTTTTCAAATTTTTTCTGTTAATATTTGATTTCATATACAGTGTAATTTTTCGGAATTCAGATAGTAAAAAATATGCAAAAAATCTTAAATAAAAATTAGTCACAATTTTTCTGGAACGATTTCATAAGTCTTTTCAAAATCTTTAACTACATTTGTCATAAATTGTGCTAGAATCCTGAAGATCAAGCCTTCGGCAGACTTGAAATGAAAACTGTAAAGGTCTTCGCTCAACCTTGATATTTTTCAGATAGATCCTGACGATCCTTGTCCTTCTTTAGGAAGGATCTGAAATGCTTTCCAGGTCAAAAAAATCTGACATTAGATCTTGTTAGATCTTGCACATACAAATTTTTTTATATGATCTTATCACAAGATCCGACAATATCGTATAAGTTGATTTTTTGTAAGATTTTGTCAGATTCTGAATGAAAAATGTCAGCAAAGATCTTGCAAGAATGATACCGTACGAAACGTATAAGGACAGGTACTATGACACCGACCTGGTCAGACACGATCATATAAGTTCTATCATCAAGGAAAAACGTATGCTTCAGAGAATATGAACCATGGATGATCATACAAGATCCACGGAGGAAACAGCGGACTATTGGACTTGAAGTTACTTTGAGCTACTTCAAGTAGCTTACTTAGAAGTACTTTTCAAGTTTATAATTTACTTCAAGTCACTTGAAATTACTTTAAGCTACTTGTTCCTACTTTGGACTACTTGGGTAATAGTTTGAGCTACTTCAAGTAGTCTACTTTGACGTACTTTTCTACTTCAAGTCCGCTGTTTCCCCTTGACAAGATCGCATACGAATCTTCGTCTGAAGTCACGCGTCTATCGATTTCACTTGAATTACTCGAGAAGTCAGAATTCTTAAGAGAAGTTGTTTTTTTTCAGCAGCAGCGCGCATTTAATCTACCGTGCAACGACATGTATATATATATGAACAAGAGAAAAAGTCAACACTTAAGTGGCAAATGATTTCTACGTACATACATAAGCCCATAACATACAATGTAGTATTAATATAACATAAAAACGAAATCGAAGTTACAAGAAAAACTTGATGGTCTAATGACCAATCCAGATGAATTACTCGAGCAAATACAAGCAACTGTGATTAAGCCGTTTGTAGTGATGCGAGCCATTAGTGGCTCATACCGTCACATACTATGATTAGTTGGTCATAAAAAAAGACATTCTCAAAAATTTCTTCATCAGTCCTAGTTCTAGAGCTATTTGTGGTGATGATCTTGAAAGAAAAAAATTACATATTGCTGAAAATGACAGTGCTTGAATTAAAACAATCACAAATGTTAAGTATATCTGTCGCTGACATTATGACATTTTACAGGATACATACTTTAGCTCTATCGTTTATTTGTTAAATAAAACTTTCTTTACCAAGATGACCAGTACAGGTAGCTGCACCAAATCCGATATGCTAAATAAGTTTTAAGAAGACCTTTGCTTTTTATGGGTAAGCATCCATGAAGGTACTCAATCATACTCCTGGAATTTTGAAACCGTTTCTTCGTTCTGCAGTCGATTTGCATCCTTTGAAGTATCAGTTATACTCCTAAACCACGTTCTCAAAAAACTTTCGCCTCATATAAAACTGCCCTTAATATCTCT